GCAGGAGGATTACTGTGGTTTCTAGGCCAGCCTAGACTGCATAGTGAGTTTAAGACCAGCCTAGACATATACAGCGAGATCCTGTCTCAAAAAATCTAAATACATACATACATTCATACGTACATAAAAGGCAAAGTGAGGCATAGTAAGAAAAAAAGGAAAAGGTAGAGAAGAGGTGGTGGCATCAGTTTTGTCCCTACTTCATATATGTCAAGGATGTAAGAATGAAGAAAAAATCATTACCAATCAAGAAATTACTGATGACCTTTAATATGCTTTTAGTACAGCTGAGAATAAGAAAGGTTAATGACAGTCAAATTATAAGAGATAATGAAGAAACAAAATATCTTAATGGAATAGATGAAGGAAAAATAGTGGCATGTTAATGCAGTTTTGAATATAAAAGCATTAAATGAAGTAGAATATAAACCCATTTTACAATATTGGAGTGAGGATGAGAGGAAGATAAGGGACTGGGGAGCGGACTCAAAGGGAATTTTATCTGAAATGTGTCCACATTTTTTTTTTTCTGAGACAAGGTCTCCTTATGTAGCTTAGGCTGGCCTCAAATTTGTGGTGATCTTACTGTCTCAGCCTCCTCAATGCTGGGATTACAGGCATGTACCCCCATGGCAGGCCAATGTTTCCACTTTTTTTTTTTTTTTTGAGATAGGGTCTTGCTATGTGGTTTGGGCAGGACTTGAACTCACTATGTAGTCCAGGCTAGCCTAGCCCTCGCAGCAATCTGCTCATCTCAGCCTCCATTTCCACTTTTTACATATAGATGGAAGCAAATATAACTGTGAATTGTTTTCAATTCCAGGCATTGGTGTGTAACTATCTAAATGGAATAGTGGTATCACTGAGAAAAAGATGTCCTCTAACAAAAGGAACGTGAAACTACTTTAACAGAAATACAAAGCAGAAAAAGCTATAGTAAGATTCTATCGGAGTATAGTTTCCCATCTCTCTAATGAAATATACATACATAGATGTTAACATCCTCACAGAGAGGATTCTCATTCACTTTGCCTTGTGGGAGGGGCCCACGGAAGCAGACCTTTTCTCTCCTTCCTTGGTTCTGGGGATGTTATGGCTACATTCCTTGCCTACTCACTATGTGCTAGTAAGTGATGTAAAACAGCCTTAAATTCCTAAGTGTTTACTGTGAGATGGGGGAAGCAAAAGCCCAATTTTTTGAAGTATTTCTCAGAAGAGACAAACACGCAAAAGAAAAAAAGATCATTAAGTAGGTAGTGATAAAGTAATACATAACAGACTTCAGCTGATCAAGGTTCAAAGGCCTGGTCAGAGTTTAAGCTCATGAGTGGTTATAATTTAGGGCAATGATATTTGTGACCTTTGATCATTCATGACACTAGAAAAAACACCTCCATTACTACTGCTTTCAAACAACTGTTTACACAGTAGCTTAAAAGGGCAAATAAATTTACATAAAATAGTTGCTTATTTAAAGAAGTGAAAGAATTAAAATACATACAAACCCATTTTACAATATTGGAGTGAGGATGAGAGGAAGATATGGGACTGGGGAGTGCTCAAAGGGAGTTTTATCTGAAATGTGTTCACATTCAAAGGGAAGTATCCAAATTCAAGGAGCAAGCCATGCTGTTACCAGCTGAGTGGTCTCTGAATCTTTCAACCTTGCTTTTGGTTTTTCTAACCTTTCCTGGAGTGGTCACTGGCAGCAAGATAAGAAGCACCTTGGTTTTGGTTATTGTCAGGGTGCATTAACATGCAGCTTTGCAAAATGGCAGCTGCAAATCCATTTATTATACTTGCTCTACCTGTTCAAGTCCCTGCTTGTGCACATCAGAGAATCACAGAAATGGAAAATATCCACTGTGAGTCACAGAACTCGGTAACCTTTGAGGCGGCGGCCACAGACTTTACCAGAAGGGAGTGGGAATTGCTGGACCCATCTGACAGAGACCTGTACTGAGATGTGATGCTGGAGAACTATAAAAACTTGGCCTCCCTGGGATATCAGCTCAGCAGACCTACTCTGATCTCCCAGCTGGAACAGGAAGATGACCTGAAGACTATGAAGAGAATTCACCAAGATCCTCGTTCAGAAAGGATGATTTTGCCACAACCAACCAATCACAACCTATCCAAGAGAGTTCAGAAAGAGAGAGACTCGGGGACAAGAAGGTTTTGGAGCATATCTAAGTTCTACAGGTGCTCAGTCTTCTAGGAAGAATGCAATAGCCTCAGTGATGTGCACTGTGGTGATCCCAGGATGAACCCCTTTATCTACAGTCTGAGGAACAAAGGTATGCTGAGGGCTTTGAGGAAACTCATTTCTAAAGTACCATCTTCCCATTAATACGTCAGATGTATATACTATTGGAACAAGTCAAAGAGAAAGAGATAATGATTGATTAAAAAAGGCTGACCCATATCTTTGGAATATAGCAGATCCGACCACATGGTAGTGAATGAGAATTGTGAAATCTGGCCACCTGGGCTTAAACTCTACCTGTGTTATACCACAGCTATGTATTATGGTTTAGATATACAAATCTACCACAAGTTGACAATATTATACGATTTTTAAAAATTATATTCATTAATATCACCAGTAGATCAAAAAGATACCCCCCCCAAAAAAACCCCCAGCTGGGTGTGTTGGTGCATGTCTGTAATCCCAGCACTTGGGAGGCTGAGGCAGGAGGATCGCTGGGAGCTCAAGGCCAGCCTGGGCTACAAACTGAGTTCAAGGCCAGCCTGAACTGCACAGTGAAACTGTCTCAAAAAGACAAGGACAAAAAAAAAAAAAAAAAGAGGACTCTAAGCCTAATTTACGTCACACAGCTACTAAGTGGCAAAATTAGAATTTCAAGCTTTTCATTTCTAAAGCCCAAAACTACTGGACAGGAAATATTTCCTTAGGGTTTAGGACAGTTGTTTTCACCCATGTCAGAACCAGCTAGAAAGCTTCTGAAAAAATAGATGCCCAGGCCTTATGATGATCTCATTGGTCCTGGGCAGCATTCAAGAATCCATCTATATTTTAAAATGCTCCTCAGGTGATTTTCAGGGAGTTATGTTGCAACTACTGACCTAGGCAACAAAGGTCTTCTTCAGGTTGAAAATCCCTCTAGGTTAGGGACGTAGCTCAGCCATACAGTACTTGCCTATCCTGCACAAAACTCTGGGTTAAATTCCCAATACAGCCCCCTACCCCCAACAAACTACCTTTAGGTGTGTCAAAAAGGTACAAATGTGAAAGTAAGCCAGTGTTACAGTCACCTGCTTCAGTAAGGGGACGCCAGAATTTCCAAGTTACTGTTAAGTTTTAAATGGCTTACTAGCCATTTAGCTCACTAGTTTTTTTAAGTTTATGGAAGTATCTAAATAGCTTATGAAAAGCCAGAAGTAACAACGTTAAAAGTGAAAGTGAAAGGGGGCTGGGAATTTAGCTCAGCGGCAAAAGCGCCTGCCTGGCAAGTGCAAGGTCGTGAGTTCGGTTCCCGGTACCGGAGAAAAACCAAAAAAAAAAAAGTGAAAGTGAAAGGAAGGCCTTCGAGAGAAAAAAATTCATCACAAAATATTCTACACTAGAAAGGGTCTCTTTGATTGGAATTGGCAACCGCAGAAAGCGGCCTCTTCTTGGAAAGTATTAGTATGCCCGAATTTGCCCGTGTGCTAAATTACAGAGAAAGGAAAACTGGATAAATTGATCAGAACTCTAGACAACTGGATAAACTGACAAAGTTCATGAATTAGTTTATACAACAACTATTTCCTAATTGCCTGCTGATGCCAGGCTCTCTTCCAGGATTTAAGGTAAACAATGAGTAAGTTTTTGTCTTTCAGGAGCTTGTAAACCACACATCTGAAAGAGACAAACAACGCAGGTCAGAATGCTGACCTGAAACAAAGGCTAGCTAGACTAAACATGTGTCATCCAAATTTAAAAAGGTAAGTGACATTTTTGTCCATTTAAATGTCTCATAATTCTAAAATCCAAAGGAAATGTCATTACGGGAGGAACAATACTCTTGGATGGTTTGGGTGTGGCACACCCAAACAGTATTTAACTGCATATAATATCTAAGGGAGGTCCTTCCTTTAACTACCTACAGTTGGGTCTTTACTCGGCACAAAAAGCCGTATCACCTGCTGAACAGAGAGGAAAGTGATGTCTATTGGAAGTTCTAAGCAACCACAAACACGAATTAGCTGGTACAACTAGGCTATGACAAGTCCTGGCTAGGTGTACAAACCGGATTTCAGAGTTTCGGAAAACCCACAGGAGAACCCACTCCCTACAATCTGAACAGCAGAGGGCGGTGCAGCCGACTTCCCAGTTTTACCGACTGGAGCCCCCCAGAAACGGAAACTGGCCCCGGATAAGCTGAAACTTTCTCAGTGAACTCCGCGATTCTCAAGTGTGTCAAATGTTCAGCGCTGGACTCATGTGGCTGTTTTCCATGACCTCTGTTCCAGTCCTGACCGTTAAGGCTCTCTTGCGGATACTCTGCCCTTACAGACGAGGGGTGGAGAGACGGTGGGGGAGGGGGAGAAAGAATGAAATCCGCCTGTGAAGCTTCCCAAAAGAACGCTTACCCTTGGGGTTTGGAAAGAAGCTTCAAATTCTAAGGGGTGAGAGACCATTCCCCAGGAAAGGCACTATGGTTCTTCCCCGCGACACAGCTGACACACACTTTACAATCCAGGAGGGGGGTGGAGGCGAGAAAAAACCTAATTCTCTGGGTAAGAGGAGCGCCTTTCACCTCAAAACGGCGTTCAACAGACTAGACTCCACTCCTTAGCTAAGTTCCTAAGTCTAGGGCCCAGGCCTCGCGCTCTGTCCTCCCCCAAGCACAAACTCCAAACTTTCTGCCCGTCGGCCGGCCCCCGCGGTGTGGAACTCTCCCCGGCACGCCGGGCTGGGCGCCCCGGCTCGAGGCCAGGCGCGCGCGGCGCAGAGCGGAGGTCGGCGCTCCGTTCGCCCCCAAAGCTGCCCGTACCTGTCCAGCATCTGCTGTAGGGCCTGGTCCGGCATCTTCTGCAGAGCCGGCGCACTGGCCCTGCCCAGCGGCCCGGGTCGCGGCCAGGCCCGCCCAGGGACAATAGCACTGAGAGGCGGCGGAGTAGGCCTCAGTCGTGGCAGCGGCGAACCGGCCACCCAGCCTCCCTGGGAGGCGCAGCTAGGCCGGCGGCGGCGGGGCGCGGCCAGCAGGCGTCCGAGGCGGTGGGGAGCGGGGAGGAGGAGCCTGACGCGGGGAGGCGGCGATCTCGGCCCCTGTTCCTGCCCGTCGGCCCGGGGTTCCGGTCCATGTACCGCGGGCGCCGAGCCGCTGCCACCGGAGGAGCTACCTCTGTGAGGTAAGAGTCGCCGCCTCCGTGCGCGCTGGGGTCACGACGCAGGCCGAGCCCAGAGCATCCTGGGAGATGTAGTCCTCGGCCCGTCCCCGCTAGAAGCCAGCCCGCCCGGACCACCGCGGCCGCCCGGCCGGCGCCCTCCTGTTTCCTTCCTCCGGGGAGGGAGAAATGTCCTTCGGGTCGCTTTCCGGAAAGCAGCAGGATGTACCGCTCCACTGTCACTAGCAACAAGGTCGGCCCTTCTTGCCTGTTTCTTTACTCCTCACCTCTTGCCTTCAGGTGGGACTGAGCCAGGTGAGGGGAGGGGGCTGAGGGCCGTTTCTCGTCCAGGTCAGCAGCCCTGGCTGTGGCGTCGGGGCGGGCCGTGGCGGAAGGGGGAACCCCGGGCGCTGGAATCAGCCTCTTCCACGTCAGAGCCCGTTTTGGGGGCGTTACACAACCCTGGCAAGGGGTCGATGCTCCGTGCCGAGGTTATTCCTGAGGGGCGGAGAGGTATGGGCTACCTTGACGGACCGTTGCCACGAGTGCATTTGGAGGTCGGGGGTGCGAGGAGAAAAGATGCTTCTCTCGCTCTCTAGGAGCCTCCTCAAATGTGCCTTCCGTGAGCTTTCAAGGGCTCGCCAACAGTCTCCAAATGGAACATGTTCGCGAATAAACAGCCCTTGCTTATTCAGCTGTGGGTTGTCAGGGATGTTTGTTTCTCTTTCTGCTACTGGGCTCTGTTAACCATTTCTTGTCTCCTTGACACCAAGCAGGTGGATGATGGAGGGTTGGGGGTACGGGGTGTGGAATCAAAAGGGAGAAGTCATAAACCACTCGTTGGGCTATCTTCTGATGCTCTAGGGATAGCTGTGGCGCGAGGAAAAAGCTGTTGACTAAAACGAGCGCGTATTTTGGACGATCTGTGGCATTCCCGAGAGCTACGATTGGTAGGACGTTTAATACTTATTATATCTGCTCTACAGTGTTTTTTCTTTAAATGAAAGTGTGGGGTCTTTTTTTGCGGGGGCGTGGAGAAAGGGTTTTGCTGTGTACAGTACAAAATTCAGGCTGGTCTTGAACTCGCGGCAATCCTCCTGCCTCAGTCTTCCTAGTGCTAGGATTACAGGTGTGCACTACCACGGCCAGCTGAAAATGTGTTTTTAAAAATTCTTTTTTAATGTAGAAGTTTATAGTCAGTTCATAATTACTCGTTCAAAGTTTGCTGTCAGTGCTAGGAAGGAAAGAAGGAAGAGAGGGAGGGAGGGAAGGAGGGATGGATGGATAGCTAAGTAGAAAGAAAGCATGACCAGAACTTTATTTGGTCCAATTTCTGAAATATGCTCTTATAAAAGACTCAGGGGAGCCGGGTGTGGTGGTACAAGCCTGTAATCCCAGCACGCAGGAGGCTGAAGCAGGAGGATTGCAGTGAGTTTGAGGTCTGCCTGGTCTACATAGTGAGTTCAAGGCCAGTCTGAACTATATAGCAAGACCATGTCTCAGAAAAAGATGGGGGTGCTTTGGGGTATTATAATTAATACCTTTTTCTCAGGAAATGAGCAAACATTCACCTAGGGAAAGGTTCTTTTGCTCCTTGTACTGTGTAAGCCTTTCTCTGCTGTTTATTTATCTCTTAAGTAATTGTCAGCCATATCCAAGGAAATGAATATAGACATCTTGCTTAAAAACAGAATTTTATCTCAGTATACTGATAAAATTTTGTGTTATGATTTACACCAAAGGATCTCAGGATTTTTACTTGCTTTCTGTTGCTCCTAAGTTGGAAAATATGATACAATTCTGTTAATGCAAAGTCTTCTGCAGGTTGATCTTATACTAATAAATGGGTTTTATATTTGCATTTTTATGAAATGCCACTTTTCTGGCTGTTTCAAAATCTTTGAAGTAGAGAAAAATTCTGTTAATGAGAGGCCGAGGGTTTAGGTCAGTGGTAGAGTACTTCTTTTTTTTTTTTTGAGACAAGTTCTCACTATGTAGTTCAGGCTGGCCTTGAACTCACCATACAGCCCAGGATGGCCTCGAAATTGAAGCTATCCTCCTGCCTCAGCCTCCCAAGTGCTGGGGTTGCAGGCATGTGCCACCACACCCAGCAGTGGTCGAGTACTTGCCTAGTGTGGGTGAACCCTTGGCTTTGATCTGCAGCATTGGGCGTGGATTCACTTAAGTGTTTAGCCCCTGACCTAGTAATTTCAAGTCTAGGTATCTCCCAAGAGAAATGAAAACCTATATCTACAGAAAGATTTGATTGAGAATGTTCATAGCAGCAGTATTTTCTAAATAAATAAATAGATATAAAACGGGTATAGTTTATGGTACACAAATTACATCTTCGTAAAGCTATTATAAGTAATTAGATCCATAATGGCATATGCCTATAATCCAGCTATTTGGGAGGCTGAGGCAGGAGGATTGCAAATTCAAGGTCAGCCTGGGCAACTTAGTGAGGCCCTGTCTCAAAATTTAAAAAGGACTGAGGATGTAGTTCAATGATAGAGCATATGCCTAGCATGCATAGGGCTGAAAAAAAACTACACATAGCTGAAAAAAATCCATATAAAATATTCATGAGAACATCTAAAGAGAATCCAAAGAGAAATAGATACATGTATCTGATATTTTTTATCACACATTGTGAGTTTTTCTTTTTATAAGTAGGGGCAAAAGTCATGATTGGTAAAACATTTGAAGTAAACTAATCCTTGCAATTAAAATGACTGATGTACATAGCCTAAATTTCAAGTTGTCTGCTAAATTTATTTTCTATGGTTCTTGCATTTTCCAGTGAGACTAAGGATAATTGGGGAAAATAATTTACTCTCTGGTTTTGAAGTCTTAATTACTTAGAATTTAAAGAAAAAGAAGAGTTCAAGTGTATTTCTCCATTTTATTTATTTATTTT